CGGGGTCGGCGATGGTGACTGCTCCGAGGCCCCTCCCCGAACCCCGCTTTAAAGATCCGCAAGCACATAGACCCGCTGACCGGCACCCTGAGATACCGCACCCCCTGGGGCCGCTTTCTGCACGTCCCGCCGCAGCTGCCCCGTTCCGACTGGGCCAATGATTTCGGGAAGCCCTGGTGGCAGGGGTCGCGTTATGAGGTGGGGCGGCTGTCCGCCAAGACCCGGAACATCCGCATCATTAACACGCTCACATCGCAGGAGCACATGCTGGAGGTGAGAACTGGTGCCTGAGGGCAGGTCGGAGGGGACCGGGGAACCCCAGCAAATCGCCAAGGAGATCTTCAGGCCCTTAGGTCTCCATGACCAGTGGGAGCAGCGTTTTCTCCCCCTCCAGGGGCAGACGGGGAGAGCAGACCACCTAGGTCTCCAGGGTGGGGAGTCGGAGGCGTGGCCCGATCACGGGGTACATAAGCCGGGGGCACAGTTCAGGCACCTCAGTGACGACGGTCCTGAGAAGCTCTTACGGTGCTGTGTTTGGGATAGTGACTGTAAGCAGACTCTCTTATTAGTGTACTCGATCGTAGGGGTGAGGGGAGGCAGCAGTGGCTGTGACCCTTTAAGGCTGTTTGTTAGAAGTGGCTGCCATAAGGACCGTAACGCTTGGGGGCCATTCACTGCATGCTTCCTCTTGGGGACCGTGAAGTGCCTAAAAATAGTGTCTACCAAGGGAGGCTCTCTGATCCCAGCTCTATCATCTTTTGGGCTCCTGGCCTTTGTTTGGGGGCGTGTGCGTCCATTCCAGAATTCCGGGGGTGGGGGGTGCTTTCATGTTCTGCAGGTGGGGGCCCTGGAGTCGATGTGGGAGATCCTACACCGCTATCTCCCCTATAACGCACATGCTGCCAGCTATACGTGGAAATATGAAGGGAAGAACCTGAACATGGATTATACCCTGGAACAGAACGGGATCCGGGATGAGGACGAAGAATTTGACTGTCTCAGTATGGACAGTGCACCTTATACACCCGCGATACTGCTGTACTTCAACGATGACCTCACAGAACTCTAGGAAGGGAGATATATGCTCACGTAGACTTAAGATATATTTTGAGTTTGGCTGCTTCTGTGTCCTGTAGGAAAAGAGGTGCGTGTGGCGGTGCTGGAGCCAGACCCCCTTTCCGTCCCGGCCGCTGGCCTGTGGTTCCCCATGTGTCTCTGAGGTGTACAAGTCCCGTTTCCCAGGCCCACTACACTTTGCTCTGAGAAGGTCGGAGAGCATGCGAGAAGCGCATGAATTGATTCCCAGGAACGATCCAGAAGGTGCGGGATCTCGGATTAGGGAGACGTAGAAGGGGTCAGTCAGAGCTCAGGCAGAACTGTCCGACGGTCAGAGAGAGAGAGGTCCCCCACGGAGATGAGCGACGGAAGAACCTCGCGGCAGCAATGGAGACGGGCCGGGCCGCAGGGAGACAGGACCTTCCCCAGGCGGGAGCAGGAAGCGTCGGTCACTGGCCAAACAAAACTGCCTTATTTCCCTTCTGCAGAGCAGTTGGCAGTCGCAACCCGAAGGGAAGAAAGGAAGCGAGCTGTTAGCAGGTAATTCAGGCTAGATCTTACGCTACGGGCTTCGTTTGCCCTGCTTAATACGACGACCCTGTAAGAGGGACACCATCACCGTAAGGCTTTGGAAGCTTAGAAAGACTTTCTGTCCCCGTTCGCCTTTGTTAAGCGATGGATGAACCTGGCGGCATCCGAGCTAGCGAGTGGAGGGGAGCTCCCTAGGCTCGGCAAGGTTTAGTGGCGCGAAGGCACACTACTTAGTGGCTGGGGGACAAACGCGAGAGAGCATCTCACCGTCCGAGGCTTGCTGGAGGGACAGGACGCCGGAGCCCTGTTGTGTGGTTTGGTTGGTTTCTGCAGTTACGGTCTTTGGAAGGGAGTCAGCAGAGTTCTGCAGTGGCCGAGCGGAGGCAGGGGGGATGCAGGGAGGGCTGCCAGCTGAGCAGGAGCTGTTGCGGCCGCTTCCTGGTTGATCCCACAGCCAGATTTTCTTCTTTTTTAGAGGAGAAGAGGTAGATGCGGACCTGCCGCAGGGTAAACGAGTGGAGGAAGGGCCTTTAGGTGGGGACAAAGAGCAGGCAATCATGACGGGCCTGGGCCCCTCAGGGAAGGAAAGAATGTCTGCCTTGCAAGATGGCAAGCCTTACAACAGTAATCTAGAGACGAGCTAATGAGGTCAGGAAACTCATGTGACCAAGGGACAGCCAGCGTGGCGGGGGGAGCAGTGGCCAGATGTGTCCCCTTCAACCTCAGCAGGGGCGGGGAACGAGAATGACAGACCGGTGGGCTTCCTGATGGTCGCAGGCCCAAAAGAACTGGGGAGAGGTGCGTGCACCTGCTGGCCAGGGGTGCCGGGGCCCGAGCAGGGGACCGTGAGGCGCTGGGCGGGCCGCCGAGGTGCTTTCTGAGGGGCTGGCCGGGAAAGGCATGGACGCAGGTGGAGACAGGTGCTGGCCCCGGCCCTTTCTGAGCTCCCCGTGAGACCGAGGGCTTCCGCTCAGTCCCGTGTAATGCGAGAGGGGTCGTGAAGCATCTGGATCTTTCTGATGTTTGGTCCACTCTGCGGTTGTTTCACATGCGTCCAGTTAAACCGACGCCTCAAGAACCCGAGCCAAGCGGCTGCCCTGGGGCCTGTGCCTCCGGGAGGGGCCCACACCTGCCCCCCTTCCAAAGTCTCCTAAATGTCCCTGGAATCCACCCTCTTTCGGCTTCTGCCCCCACACACCACAGTGTGAGTGAGCTCTGGAAACCAGACCGAGGCCTCTGGCTTTCCCCCTTCAGATTCTTCAGCGGCTTCTGGTTGCTTTGGGAATAAAGCCCTCGAAGTCCAAAGATGCTGTGTAAACCGGCTTCCGCCCACCTTGCAAGTCTCACCTTTGTTCTGTGTGTTCCAGCTGCACGGCTGTCTCGCGGTCCATGAAATGTGTGCCTGCCCCAGAACCTTCACGCGTGCTGTTCCCTCTGCTTGCACACCCTTCCGTCTCCCACCTAGCTGAATCCTCAATGGTTCTTCCTCAGGAGAGCTTCTGGGGTTTCTTGGTGTTGAAAGCCAGACTCTCTGCTAGATCATTTCTTAGCGCCACGCACATTTCAGAGTACGTCCTACAGTTTAAACTTTAAAATTATGGATGTAGCTGGCTGGCTGGCAGCTAGAGAGTAGGGACCGTGTATGTCCACCCTGTTCACCGCTGTGTTCCCGGTGCTGGGCACACAGTTGCTGCTCAATAAATTTTGATGGTATGACCTCAAATGTTGAGTGAATTCATCCGTCTGGAATAACTAGTGGATGGGATGTTGTGTCCTGGGAGGCAAGTGAGGCCACCTCCAGCCACAGGCTTCTGTCCTGGCTCCCTTGGAACCAAGCCCAAGCCCTAGGGGCCTTCTCACCAGATTTGGGGGGAAACCTGTCATTCCCGCGGACGGCCACCAGGTGGCCGTACTCGCCTACGGAGTCGGCGGCGGGGGCGGGGCGGCTAAGGGAGGGAAAACCCTCGCAAGTTCTAAAAAGGTTACAATGAAAGGCGGCCCCGCCGGAATTTATAGGCGGGAGGGAAGGATCAGAAAAGAAGTTAAAACCACATGGCTACTATTTTATTAGCTTTGGGTTTACTCCTGTTCTAGATTTTTTCCACAAGCTCATGCCAGGAAAGGAGCGCAGTCTGAGAAGTAAAACCCACGGGACGGCCCAAGGTGGGGGTCTGATTACAGGGCTGGGTGTGCTCGGTAGATCGCAGAGCTGCGGAAGGGATCGACACCCCACGTTTCAGAGAGAATACAGCACACGGGTTTATTAACACGTATGGGCTTTAGCGCGGACGCGAGTAAAGTTTTTCACGAGGCACCACTTGGTTCTCTAAATACCCAAGGCTGGGTATTTGCGGGAGGAGTATGTAAATAACGTCTGGGCCTAAAATCTAGAAAGTAAATAGCACTGAGTGTAGGGTCCAAGTCCTCTCCTGGCGACCTCTTTGGTTGTGGAGGGAGGCGGGGGGGAGGGGCGGAATACCGAAAGGAAAGCTGCCTGTCCTCAGGAAACCACAACAGACTCGAAGGACTCAATGGGCAAGTTTCCCCTGAGCCCTGCTCCCTAAGCGCATAGCACCAAGGATAATAAAGACCCGGGTGTCCCCGCAGGGAGCCTGCCCGCTCAGTGGGAAAAAAGACACACACACACACACACACAC